CACATGACTGTGAGGGTGCTGTGACGGCTGGAACTTTGAAGACTGGTTTTAAGTCATTTCGTTCAGTGCAATTGTAACTTTGAAAGGTTGCTGAATGAATGGATGTTAAGCAAGGACTACCTGTAGTGAAATTCTTTTAAATATAAACAAACACATATATAAAAGATATTTTGTCTGCCATCTTACATATCACTTAAGCATTGAGATCTTATCTATGTTTAATTAGAAGCAAGTCCCACTGAGTTCAACATAGTTTACTCTCATGTGTGCAGCACTTGCAGGACTATGACTCTCAAAGGGTTTATTTTCAGTACGGGCATCATATGCAACATTGCACTTTAACTCTCTGAAACTTTATAAAGCTGTTAATTGTAGCACAGGCAATATGGAAAAGACAACAATGAAATGGAAAGGCCAACATACATGTACTATCTTGCTTCCGATACACATTGGGATGTATTGTATCACAACATACAAAGTATTGAGTTTAAATGGATTACTCACTAAAGGCAAATTGAGAGCCCAAGTAAAGAACAAAACCATATATAGCTCTTTCAGGCAATGGGGCTGGTGAGTTTTCAACCATGCTGGTGCTTTAATTTACCTTGAAAGAAAAGGAAAGGGTGAAAAACAATTAGTTTAGTTTGACTTAGCTACAGTCATCAATAATTTCAATTTTCAAAGTACTTGAAAATAAATCTGTATAGCCAAAGAAATGAAATTGTGGTATAAATAGTAAAATGTATAAATATTCAAAAGATACAACCTGGATACAGATCCCCTTTTAATATTCTACTTAGTATATATACAGATTTCAAATTTCAAAGCACACTCCATCAGGCATTTAGGAAGATAGCTTTCCTTTTAACTGCACGCAGGACACTCTAGCTGCAAATTCAAGTAATTTATAATAGATAATCATAAATAATTTACCATTTTCAAATACCTAATATGTCAATCACCCCTAACTGGTTTTTCTGGCAGCTATAGTTTTAATCTCTCAACAGCTACAAAAAAAAGTATATGCTTTTTCAATTTAAAATAATGGTCTGAAATAATTCTAAGTTTTCTACAACAAATGAGAGGCCACACATGATGCATTGGAATAAACCATTCGTATTGAGGTGACTGACTAGCAGAGAGTGAATACAAAGTCCTTCCTATCTACCTATCCAATATTTATCTCTAATATTAAATCATATCTGAAGGTAAAAGAACTGTGTGACTGTCAGTGAAAGAGAGGAAAAGAAAATTGTTCCTCTGCTCAGAATCCCAACTTTTGCCAATTTTGTGCTGTTTCTAAGACTTTAAAATCTTAAAAAAAGATTTTTCATTAGATGCTGAAAAAGCCTTTGACAAAATATATAAACAATACATATCTGTCATATTAAACAGGTTTGGATTTCCTCTGGAATTCATAAAATGGACTAAGAGATTGTACAAGTTGCCCACATCTAAAGTAAAAGTTAATGGTATGTTCTGTGCTACTTTCCCACTATTTAGAGGAACCAGACAAGGATGTCCTCTTTCACTCTTGTTTTTTAATATCTGTCTGGGACCCTTGGCTGTGTATTAGACAACATAGGGAGATCTATGGAGTAGTACATAACTCAGCTGAACACAAATTGGTTTAATTTGCAGATGACGTTCTTGTTTATTTTAAAACCTCACACTACTATTCCAGTGTTGATGCAAATGACAGACGCCTTTAGTAAAATAGCAGGATACTCTGTTAAGTGGTCCAAATCAGAATTGATGCCAATAGGTAAAAATTTGGTTACCCATACTTTTAAGGAATATCAATTCTGTATTTGTAATGAATCCATTAAATATCTAGGTGTGTGCATACCAAAAGATGTAACTCAGTAGCATATCATATAAATAAAATATAGAGAGAAGGTTTCTTCAGATAGCGATAGATTAAACTTCACCCTTTGGGGAAAGGTAAATGCTCTGAAAATGAATATTATTCCCAGATTAATTTATATACTGAGAGGAATCCTAGTTCATGTATCTGGAAGATATTTTCAGAAGATAAATTCTTTGTTAAGAAAATTTATACGGGGTTCTTCAATTCCGAGAATATCTTTACAGAAAATGCAATTACTAATTAATGAGGGAGGATTTGGTTTTCCAAATCTGGAGCTATATCATCATGCTTACCTATTGTCAAGTATTAAAAAAAGACTTAAAAAATAATAATAAATACAGGTATAAATCTTAGGACGTTAAACAGTAAACGTTAGAATAAAGATTTCAAAACAAACATAAAAGCATTCGTAGACAATCTCACAAAACATCCAGTACCATGTTAAACTCTTCCAAAAGCCCCCACTTACAAGCACCTCGGATCCCATTGCCTCGAGTAAAGCCATACCCTATCACTTTTGCTTTAGCAGAGTCCAATGAAAATGCCAACTCAGGCACAAGTTGGTCTAAAGGTATGTACCTTCCAAACAAAGAATTGGTGGGTTCCAATACTAGACCTTATAATTAGTCTCAGCCTATAATTTAACTGAGTTTTTCACTTGCTCTTTCAAACTATGGGATGTGGGAAGAATTTCCCCACAAAGGTACAAAGAGGAAGGCCTGCTCTGCTTTAAGCTCACATCTCCAAAAGACCTAGAAGGCATCAAGTTGGAGAGAGATACCCTAGGGAATTATGGCCAAATGATATTTATTTCTTTATTTCTTGAATTTTTTTATTTACTTACAAGAAATATACCCTGTGGGGGAAGTCTCACACTGCTGTTTTGAAAATTTTATTCTCTGGAGAGCTTGAAAACATGTATGGCTCTTCCCTGGATTTCAGAATTGTTCTTATAGGCCAACACACTTCTTTATATGTAATGTAGCAGAATTTAACACCCAATCCCTTGTTCAAAAGCATTAATTGCTAACCAGATTTGCCAAGCTTAGACAATTTTACAAGCCATTTTTGCAACTATTGGTAGTAATTCAAGCTTGCTTCCCTCTCCACACCATAAAACTATGTTTCATGCACAAAACGATAGTAACTGGAAACAACTACAGTTTTGTTGTTTTTCAGTCAAGTGACTACACTGCTAGTTAACCACAGCTTTCTGCATTTTTCTACTATTGTCTCCACTGTCAGCGCTACAATTGCGATAATAATAATACAGGATAACTAATGATTTATTTATTTATTTATATTTCAAATTTGTCACCACCCATCTCACTGGTAACTGATAATGGAACTTGTCCAAAATATACTGTAGTTACTTATTTATTAAAACGTTTCTATACCACCGTATGTTTAACAACTAGAAGCCATTTATACACCAGATCACTGGTGTATAAGTGATCACTGCATCAGCATTAATACAATACAAAGATCACTGCATCAGCATTAATACAATAACAAGTACAGACGCGGCCCAGGTCCATTGTCCATACCAAAACCTGCCGGAAGCTATACGGAAGAGTTTGAGCGGGAGAAGTCCGATTTAGACAGCTTTTCCTACGCCTTCCGATTACAAACGGCAACTTTCTACATCTCCTTGTATGCGGACCAGAGGATGATAGGAGTTGTGATCCAAATACACCTTTCTATCTCAAACGCTGCTTCTCTCTATGGCAGAAGATACAGAGTACCGGACGTGACGTCCAGCCCGGAAAGCGTGAGGTTCGTTTTTCCATTTTGAAAGCGAAGGTCAACGCAATGAGTGGCCAATGAGGAGGCAGAGAAAGTCGGAAGTGTGTTGGATGGTGATGACGGCGGTGGTTGTTCCTTTCGGAGAAAGAAGCAAGGCGGTGCAGGGGTAGAGTAACAGTGAGTCGCGTGCAGCTCGGCGGTCGTCGCGGTGAGAGGAAAAGGTCTGCGCATTGATGCGGTCGCGGCTTTGATTAAACTTCGGGGTCGTCCAGCCTTTCTCCGTGGCTGGGCTCCTGGGCCACGAGTCTCGTGGGGCTCCTTTTTCCCCTGTCCCTCATTCAGACGGTACATAAAGAAGTGCTTTCTTGTGTGTTTATTGGGGTAGAAAGTCTGGCGTTTTCCTAATGCATTGGACTGCGGCTCTCATTATCCTCCAGCCCGCAGTGGGAAGGCTCTGAAGGGCGCCCACGTTTATTCTCCGCTCTAGCACTATTCCCCGCTGATCTTAGCTCGAGTAACCGCCGAAGGCTTCCTGCTGGGTCAGTTTCGAAGGTGGCTGTCTGTTTGGGCTCCCAGATTCCCCCTCGATGCCCCGAAAGTCTTCCGAGCGGCCCCGTGTTATGATTCCTGTTCGAACTCTTCTCGCGAAGACCTTTGAACTGATGAACAAGGATCACTTTTTCAGTTTCTTACAAGCAAACTTAGTGGCTATGGGTTGCGGGGACGTGTCATTTTGTGGATTGCCAGCTGCTTAAAAATCAGAAAGGAAAGGATTAAATTAGCAAGTTTTTTTTTTTAATTGGAGGGAAGTAAGAAGAATCCACCAAGGATGTGTGTTGGGACTAGTGCTTGTTTAACTTGCTTATAGATGAAATTAACTTACTGGTAAGCAGTGAGCAGGCCAAGCTTGAAGATGGTACCAAATTTTCAGGATATTTTTCAGAACATGATTTTGAAGAATACTGGAAATATCTTTGTAAACTGGCAATCCAGTCAACCAAATGGCAAATGAAGTTCAATTGAAAGTAAAAGTGTTGATGTTACAGTGCCATTATACAAATATATAATATGTCTGCATTTTAAATACTATGTATAGCTATTGTCACTACATTTGAAAAGGACTCAGACTGCTTCCATATGAAAATGTGTGTGACTCTTCAGTTTGGAAAAGAGTAATTGAAGGAAAACATGATTGAATGGATAGCTCTATGCATAGCATGGAGAAAGCCTAAGGGAGAATTTTTTTTTTCTCCTCTCTCAAAGCATTATGACCAGGAGTCATTCAACAAAGCTGGTTGGAATAAGATTTGGAAAAGATGAAAGAAAGCAGTTCTTTGTACAGATCATACTTAATCTGTTAAATTCATTACCACAAGATGTACTGATGGCTGTTAACTTGGATAGCTTTAAAAGGCCATTGGATACCTTCATGGAGGATAGATATATCAAATGCTTGAAAACTCACTGTTACCTTCAGGTTGGAGGAAGCAAGGTTCCAGTTATCAGTTGCAGAGAACAATGGTGGGAAAGGAGTATGTAATTGTCCCTTGCATGCAGGTACCATGTATACATCTGGCTACTGTGAGAAGCAAAATACTGGAATAAAATGGGCCTTGTCTTGATCCAGGAGGATGGCTCTTCCCTTCATTTCCCTCCTTAAAACTGACCCTTTTTACAATTACCTACCAGTATGATTTTTTGTGTGTCATACACCAGTACAAGGAGAGTACAGAATTGGATAAAAGTCTGATCTCATAGAATTAATGCAATAATTAAATTGTTTTAATTGTTATAATTTATTACTTTATAAGTTATTAAAACAATGTTTTTATTTTTGTTTTGCAACAAATTGTTGCTTTTCTTTTAACAAAATGCATAAAAACGTTCATGGGTAATCAGTGTTTTTGTTATATTAATTTTTCTAAATTATTTGCTACATTTTTAAGGTCATGCAGTATGGAAAATCCTACTTTTGAAGAGGTCAAGCACATCACATTTTATAGTCCTTATATCAGACCATGTTGTGAATTGGTAAGTACATAATGAAAAATAGTATCTGTGTGCACTTGCTATAGTGCATGGAATGGGAATAATATATGATCAATTGAAATTTATATAGTGCATTTGAGTTGGGTAGATCTTTTATTTGCATGTCTGCCCAAATATTCTGACAAAAGTTTGGCATCACAGGCATGAATTGTACAATCAGGACTTTTAATAAATACATTATTAATTTTGAACATTAAGCTATTGGTAATGCTTTCTCAGCAGGTGGCAGCATATAACTGAACTTGTCTTGATCCAAACCTAAGCGAGGTTGGGCTTTGTCGGTACTTAATTGGAAGACCAATATCAGAAAGTATAGCCTATTTCAGGAAGCATTTTATATACTTGCATTTTCTAATTATTAGTGTTTACCAAAAGTTATTTTAGGACAGGAAAGTTTATTCATTTTCCTGTTTCTAGGAAGAAAGTCATTTTTTAAAAACCTTTCTCGAGAAAAAAACAGTCCTTCTAATTTGAGAATCAAAAGGTTAGCTAGCCTATGCAATGTTAAATCAGCTTTTCAGGATACAGGTTCTTTGTTAATATGCCTTGATAAACAAGTTGGTAGCAGGATGGTTTGCAAAGAGAAAACACAGTTTTGTACTTGTTTATTTTGGTATTGGTTGAGGAGCATTCAAAATCCAGTTTTGAATGAATATTATTGCTTAATTGAGGACTATTTTTCATTTTGCTTCACATTATTTTAGAGCAGTACTTAAAATGTCTTTGCTTCTAGATGCGTGGAACATTTCATGAATATTCTCCAAAGAAATATAAACCAGGTACTTAAACTGACAATGCAAGCTGGCTTGCACGCGCTCTCTCTCTCTCTGTCTCTCTTTTGTCTTCCATAGTTTGCTTACCTGTGCTTTGTTTAATAGTCCTTGTTATCTTGCTGTACAAAGGCAAGATAGCAAAATATTTGGTGCCAGTACTTCAGCACTACTTAGATCTTTGGACTTGAGGATTACTAGACTTTAGTTTTTGATCTTGTCTTTCCCTGCTCCCCCCACCCACTTTCCCAATTTTGTGCCATAGGTGATATCTGCAAAATGTGGTGCAGCATACCTGTTCTTCAGCTGCACAAATACTGCGATATAATTAAAATATGCACCTTTAGACCACTTTTGTTTGTACCTATACGTGATCCCACTAAGAAGTGCCATGATCTCAGGTAAAGAAATATTTATTTGCATTCAATATATATTGTATTTTTGAAGATTTCAACATAGAAAACCTGTATATGTTTTACAAGATCTTATTAAAAAAACAAGTATGTTAACAGGTTATGGGATAAAGTAACAAGAAATATATTGGCACAAGTTATTCAGAGTGACATTGGGAAACGTAATCATGTTAAAGAACCAATTTCAGTGGCTTGAAGCTCTAATCCTAAAAATATTATGCACTGCGTCCCAAAATGCAGTTCTTTCATAGCAGATGTGCCTAAGGATTGCCTTCCCTCATTGATTGCAGATATTTGATTTATTGAATAAATGAGGAATGCCTGTGGTTTTAGGCATAGGTACAAATGGTGAAACAAATTAGATATGTTATAATGTCCTGTTTTTTAAAATGTACATATTTTCAAGTGTGCAGAATTTCATAAATAAAAATGAAGAATGGATTTTAACATCTTTTCTTCTGCACTTAGCTGTCAATTTGATGAGCTAAATTTGGAGAAACTCTATCAAATTGAGACTTTAGAAGATGTTACTGATATAGTCAAAAAATTTGCAGTAAGTAATTTTTTTTTAATTTTAAGCTGTCTAAAATGTTAATGCTGCATTAATACTTTAGGAATAGCACAAAAAGTGGCTGCATATTTCTTAAAGAAAGGTGTGCTTTTATTTTAGAGCACTATCAATTGTACCATTGTGTTCCTTAGGACTGTTCTTTGCAAGTTCAATTGAAGCTAGAAAATCCCTTCATGTGATCGTTATGCTATAGAATAAAATTCTACAGCATTAGACCTTGTAGTGGTTATTTGAAACTCTTAGGGCTGTCTGATCTACTCCAGTGGCTTTATTTTGAAAAGTTATTGAACCAAAAAATAAAAGTGAGAATTGTATTTTAGTATTTCTGAGGTTGTGGTATTTATAATAATCACATATCACTGGAGTTTTCTATATGCTGTCCAAGATTAAGTACTGTACATTCCTGCACCTCATATCATTACAAAGAAGGCATCATAACAGAAAGAAAGTGTATGATTGCTTTTGCTGGTAAGCCTTTTCTCCCCTTGCTTCCAGGATAATCAACTTTTCATCAGTGGAATATTGACAACTGAAACTGATATAGACAACGTAAGCTTGTTTTAAACTATTTATTCAGATGAACTCTTTGATTTGTTAAAATTCCACATTTTTCTTCTACATCTTTCTTCTTCCCCAGTAAGAGACTTTTATAGCACTGGCTTAATCATAATTTAAAATGAATATTTTAAATGCAGAAGGGTCCAGAATAATCATATCAACTGTCATAATGAATTTGATAGAAATAAATCCAATGTTTGTATATACTTCCTTACTTATAATGGACATGTATAACTGTAGTAAAGAGAGTTTTACAGATATCAGTTCTTATTAATTTATAGGTTGCATTTCTTTTTATAATTTTACAACTTTCTCTGGCATTTTGTACCAACCTGTTCCTTCCTAATTCACACTCCAACTGTGTGAAGATCAGGTTCACATATGCACCATGGTAGAGTAAGCTGTTTCTTCAAAAGAACAATGGTGAAGGTCAAAGAAATTTCCTTTCTGTGTTATAACGTCTGTATTAGACATTGTCATGACTAAGTTGGGACAATGGAGATTGAAGCATTCTGTATGTGTTTGTGTGTTCCTGAGAGAAGAAATCTGACCTGAACAATGATTAGTGAAACAGGTTCTGTAACTGTAACAGAAAGGATATTTATTTACAGGAAATATAAGTATAAGCCAAACTTAGAACTCAGCTAATCACATCCCTGAGAAGAGTAGAGCCTGTATTCTGTATGTATGAGCCAAGGAAGGCAAAAGGAAGTGACCTTAGATTAGTAATCTCTTAACCAAAGAGCAGGCAGAATGATAAATGTCAAGATGGTAGGGAGCGGACACCCAGCGTGATGTTCCCAGCCATGATCAGCATGGGGGTTTGGAAGTATGGAGATATGGAGTTTGAATGTGGGGAGAATGTAGAGAACCCCTTGCGTTACCTCCATCCAATACTGGCCATCACGGTGGGGAGGAGAGTTGTGGCGGCGGCTGCTGGGCCAAGGACAAAGAAGAAAGGCCATAGGCAATGGGAGCAAGTACGGCAGTGGGTGGTGCTTCAATCCAGGGGGATGATGGTGGCTGTGGTGGTGGCTGTGGCGGTGGGGAGTGGTGATGGTGGATGCCAAGGCCTCACCATTGAGGCCGGGGTTGACACCTGGGCCTGAGAGTGGTGACAATGCTGGCAAGAGTCGGTCCAGCTGGGCCAGGAGTGGCTGCGGAGCCAACACCCACGCCCAATGCTGTGGGTTTTGGCAGCAGCGCCGGCCATGAGACCGCTGGCGGTGGCAGGATGGCAGCAATGACAGCACCTGGGGCGAGGCTGACGTGGATCCGACTGTGATGGTGGAGCTGTAGGCCAGAGCCGGAAGGCCCACAGAGTCTGAAGCCCTTAGAGACACTAGGATCTTGGGGGGTCTGGGTTCTAACCGCTTAACATGGCAAGGGGGCTACCCCTTACCCCCAGAGAAGAGGCTGGGGGGACTGGAGTGGTTGTGGGGTGAGTTGGTGAGTTGGTATGTGGATGCTTGATGAGTGTGCTACCCTCTTCCCAGGTGTGAGGCGGGAAGAGGGTAGGAGTGGATGTGGCCCTCTTTTCACCAGCTAGTGAGAGAGGCTGGTTGAGAGAGGGAGTGTGGTAAGGGAAGAGGGAGTTGGGGTGACTAAGCCCCTGTTGGTGCTGAGAGCAGATAGCTGAAGTGTCACATGGGCCCATCCCCCCCCCCCATATTCCCTCTTGGTCTGAATGGTTTATGATATGGCAGACCCCTTAGGCCAGGAGGGTGGGTGGAGGATCACCTTGGGTGATTCAGGGTGGGTATTCATGTGGTGATGGGCATGGGACATTATGATGGGAGCCAAAGGGCAGACCATTTCAGAGGAAGACTCCCCCAATGTGTTATACCAGTGGCATGTTCCGGCCCTCTGGGCTCAAGCCCAGATCCTGGTCAGCAGACCTACAGAGGCCCGGGCTTTTGGCTGCTGATGAAGAATACCAGGTCTGTCAATAATAAGCCCCACCCCCCTTATTCATGACCTTATTGGGGAGGAGTGGGCTAACCTGGCATGCATTACTGAGACCTGGCTGACACCAGAAGGGGATTTTGCCCTTTCAGAAATGTGTCCAGCTGGGTTTAGGGTTTGGCACCAGCCGAGACCCCAGGGAAGGGAAGGGGGTATGGCAGTGATCATCCGGGATTCTCTGCTGGCCTTCAGGGGCTCTGCTGCACAAGTTGCTGGATGTGAGACCCTGTTCCTGAGGATGGGCTTGTGGGATCAGTTGGGAGTTTGCTTCTGTACCAGCCTCCCTGCTGCGTAGCAGCCTCCCTGCTTGAGCTGCTGGAGGCCATCTCGGGGTTGGCAGAGGCTTATGGTCTTGGGGGACTTTAATCTGCCATCCCTGGGGTTGGCCTCGGAGGCAGGCCTATCGCAGGTCATCCATAGCTTGACTCAGGACAGTGGTCACACTCCAGACATGGTTTTCTTGTCAGAGCAGTGGCAGTGTGATCTGGCGGGGGATTTGATATTGTCCCCTTTATCATGGTCAGACCACTCCCTTTGAGATTCTCCTACGCTGGCCCCTTTTACAGGGAGGCAGGACCTATTCGAACGGTCTGCGCCTGGCGATTGATGGACCCCCAAGGGTTCCAAAAGGAGCTGGGGGTTGTTCCTGAGGCCTTGTTGCATGGTCCAGCGGAGGCCCTGGCCGCAGCCTGGAATAAGGAGGCGGCCAGGGCCTTGGACAGGATCTCACCTGTGCATCCTCTCTTGATCCATTGCCCCCAGCACACCCTGTGGTTTACAGAGGAGTTAAGGGTGCTGAAAAGGGCCAAGAGACGTCTAGAGTGCCGCTGGTGGAAAACTAAGGATGAGTCTGACCAAACATGGGTTAGAGCCGCTATTAAGGCCTACCTCATGGCAGTAAGGGCTGCGAAACGCCATTATTTCTCCGTTTTTATTGCATCCGCAGAGTGTCGTCCAGCAGCCCTATTCCAAGTCACCTTGTCTCTCCTGGGTAAGGGGGGCCCGGAGGACCATTTACAGGGTTGTGCAGAGGAATTTGCCGATCATCTGACAGATAAAATCACTCAGATCCGTTCCCAGTTGGAGGCTAAGCATGATGCAGGTCCAGTGGAGATGCCTAGGGAGTGGACTTACCTGGTTATCTGGGAGTGGTTTGATCGTGTTGGGTCTGAGGAAGTGGAAAGGGTCCTCGGGGCTGTTAGTGCAGCCACTTGTGGATTAGATCCTTGTCCTTTCTGGTTGGTTAAAGCCTCCAGGGAGATGACACTGGGGTGGGTACTAGCGGTGGTCAATTCATCTTTGCAGGAGGGGGTGTTCCTGATGACTTTTAAAGAGGCTCTGGTCCACCCCCTCCTTAAGAAACCATTGCTGGACCACACCCTTCTGGACAATTTTCATCCAGTTTCTCCCCTTCCCTTTTTGGGTAAGGTTGTGGAAAAGGTGGTCATACGACAGCTTCAGAGGATCCTGGAGGAAATGGATTATCTGGACCCCTTTCAGTCAGGTTTCAGGCTTGGTAATGGGACAGAAACAGCCTTGGTCGCACTGTTAGATGATCTCTGGCAAGAGTGGGATGAGGGTAGTGTGTCCATCCACGCTCCTGACCTCTTGGCAGCTTTCGATATCATTGACCATGGTATCCTTTTGGTCAGCTGGGGGAGTTAGGGCTGGGTGGCATGGTTTTGTGCTGGTTCAGCTCTTTCCTCAAAGGCCGACACCAATCGGTGTTGATAGGGAGCAAAAGATCCAGCCTGCGGCTCCTACTTTGTGGGGTGCCTCAGGGTTCGGTGCTCTCACTTCTCCTATTTAACATCTACATGAAACCACTGGGTGAGATCATCCGGCACCATGGGATGAGGTATCATCAGTATGCTGATGATACTCAACTATATATCTCTATCCAAGGTGACCTAAGTGATGCTATGTCTACGCTTTCACAATGCCTGGAGGCTGTAGGGCCCTGGATGGGGGCCAACAGGCTTCAACTGAATCCTGGTAAGACAGAGTGGCTATGGCTACGGGAAGCCTCAAGATCTATGTCAGGCCTAGCCCAAATAACTCCTGGAGACCATGCAGGTTCAATCAGCAAGGTTTATTTGCCAGCACCTGTTTACAGA